TATCTCATCGGACACAAACAGTAACATTACATCAATGTTATAATTTCCTACTCAACAATGTAACTGTTATGTACAACATGCATTATATTACATCTATATTATTGAATGGAAAATGGATTATATTATTAATGTAACATTACAATTAATTTGCGTTTAGTGGAAAGAATAGTTTTGCTTAGATATCTAAAAATTTAGCTAGGTACAGATCTGAAATAATTTCGTTGGCTCAATAATAAGGGCCATTCCGTCAGTTTCAACTTTAAAATAATACAAAAATTCATAATAGCAAACAATATCTCTTTTCAGTGAGGTGCTTACAGTTACATTATATAATCATAATTGCTCCTTGAGAGCACAGCGCAAATAATCAACATGTGCTGTTCAGAAACATAAACATTATTGTGAGAAATGGATGAAAAAGCCCCGTTCGTATTCCTATATAGGACATTCAAACTAGTTGCTGGAATGTCAACACTTTTGAGATTCCTTGAGATTTCCTAAATGTAATTATTTTGATGGTGTAATAAAATTAAATTATTTTCAAATCTTTCAATATCTATCTAAATTTATAGATATTTCTGTAAAATCTTCTGTAAATTCTTTCTGTGCAGTTATACTATAGTATTTTCGTGTGCGATATTTTTCGGGAACAAAACGCTTGGTTGTAGTAATGTGCCAGGGTTAATATACCTGCGAAAGTTATGCGTACAGGTAGTCGCATATTTCTTCAGTGTTTACCCAGGCACGTTGCTTTTCTGTGGAAAGAGAGAGTTGCAATATAGTACGACGCGTCATTGTTCTTCAACAATTGTACGGCAGAGTGTCGCTCGACTTTCCATTGTTCCTGCTCATAACACCAAGATAAGAACTCATGCATTTCTCGTATGAGAAATGCGGTCCAAATTAGTTTCGTCTACTTGTTGCGTTTTGCCATAGATATTCCCATAAAGTACAATAAAGTGTACTTCCATATATATATATATATATATTTCCTTACGTCACTTGTTAGAAACACCGTAACTCTTGTTACTATTTTACAGTGCATTGATAATAAATGAATATATAGGAGAAACCGTTGAAGCGATATCTCTCGTTAGCGAAGAAATTAAACCGGCGCGATGGCTTTAAATTTAACGCAAAAGACTTTCGCGCGGCATGTCCTAAGTAATAGCTCGATACATTTGTCCGAGAAGCTTTTAGAGCAAAGATGCGGGTTTAGAAACGACCGCTTTATTTATGGCTCATTCACACGTATGAAGGCGACACGCTCACTTTCTGGAGCTTAATGGACCGTGAGAGCGGACATCGGACTATCTTCTTTCGGAGAGTCTTCGGCTCTTCGAGAGAGCGTTCGGCTCGACAGCTTCCCAAGAATGTACTTTTTCGACTAGAAAACCAAAGGACTATGGGGATGAATCCTAAACAGATGTTCCGACACTGTAAACTGATGAAATATCTGTTGTTTGTTGATTGTGTTCTTCAAACATTCGCGTGTTATCAAATTCTCGAGTCGAATTAACGATGTGCCTTTCGAAACCTCGCCTTTCGATCATAGAGCACCGTGCAAGTTTTAGTAGAAACTTTACTGACCCCTTCCGCAATTAGAATAATTAACATTTTCAAATGATAATAATTATTGGCGCAATCGATACGCTTGGCTGCTTTTTTAAAAAAGATTGATGCGTCTACTTTGCAGAGGAGTTTGCTGATGAGTCAGTACCTCGTAACGCGTTCGTGGAAAAATCTCACGCATAGAGAGCTTTGTCGGCATAGACAAATAGAATGACCATGAATTTATGGTGACTCACTATGACTGGCGTGAAAATCATTACACGGTTAAAGAAAATACCACATCATTTGTAACATTCAATACAATCCGCGACATCAGATATAATTTGACTCCGTTCATCTTTGCTTCGTAGTTTTTAGTGATAATCTCGGACTAAGTGAAAGTCGATTGGAACTAAAAAAAAACTGATAAAAAAAATTGTAATGGAAGATAATATATGATCTGTAACAGTAGCATGAATATCTCTTATCTTATAATATAGCTGTTTATTTATTATAAATCGCACGTTTTTTTATAATTTTTGTAAAAACGATTTAATATCTGCCTGTGTAGTACAGATTTACAGTACCGTTGCTGCAATGTTTGCAGTGTTATTATAAGATTTTATACTGCACGATACTAAACTCCTTTTACGAAAATTATGAAGACAATTCTCGCAATTTATAGTAGAGAAATAGTAGAGAGATATTTATGCAATATTGCTGGAACATTGCAATGCAGCTGTAATATTGTTGGAATGGTCTATGTCGTATATATAATATCGTATAATTGATACGAAATATTACGAAATTAATTTGAAAATCGTTTCGGCCTATTCCTCGCGTTTATTGATGTAATCAGAAAATGAGAAAATAACCCTGTCAGTTAGGTAAGTACATCGCTCTACAGATTCTAGCAATTGCGACATTATCGTACATCATCAAATCATTTTACTGACGGAATAATTATAATCTTGATGCAAATTTTGTTCCGAGAAAACAGCGGCGCTTTCCCAATGACGTACCGCGAGATTTTCTTCAGTACTCGAGAGATATGGGATTCATAAATAACGCTGTTTTCTAGCTGTCCAATGCAGAACGCAGAACATTACGAAATTCTGCTAGCTTATGGATTATCATACATCATGACCGAGGTCGCACAAATATTGCACAAATTTTAAGCTGAACGCGCGCATTATTTTGACGCTATTACGACAAATGAGTCCGACCCTCTTGCACCTATGGTAATTGTTGAGACTAATTTTCCTCAAGTTGTTTGAGACTAATTAGAATTAGACTCTCCATTGTTGTCTGTCGTAATAATGGTGACAACGCAAGAAAGCGAAACGAAGTGGGGTTACCTAACATTCGATGGGGAACAAAGGGTTAATCGACGAGATTGTTTGGGCGAGTTATTTTCGTCCTGACGAAAAGAAATATTTCCAGTCAAGGGGTGTGTCATAGGTCGTTACTTTATTCGTCGTCACGTCCAACGACGTTTATCCACGTGAAGAAAAAAATGCAGGTAAAGAATCTTACACCATTACTTATACTATCGACCAGAAGAATTCCAGGCATCTTATCGATCGTATTTTTCCGATAATGCGTATTTCTTTTTAAATTTTTTCATAAATGTCCTTTAAACATTGTTATGATAATTTTTGGAAAATACCTAATGGTAATGCTTAGTATGATTATTCGACGCCATCAAACCCATCGGGAAATTCAACGGCAGTTAATTAATCATTAATTTCAGAAATTACAATTTTTTATGCAGAATAAATGGATTGTTGAAAGAGCAATTTTTCCGCAATTTAATATTGCCGACGAGAGCAGGAAAATGTTTTCATTTGCGAATGAAGGTTGCAAATTGCTGTCATTACGACAGCTGGCGGCGGGTTCAGAATGTTTCGCAGACGTTGTGAGATTAGATGAGGGTGACAAGTATTCAGCCACCGCACCGCAGGAAGACGTCACACACAGCAGGATCTATTTCCATCCCAGACTCTAGCGAAAATAGTCGCTACGTTGGGAAACGTAGGCGTGTTTAACGTGACTTTCGGTCAATAATCGTTTAGTCGGAATCAAGACGAACGAGAAGTAATCATAGGGTACCAATAATGCCATGCTCATCGCCCACGTCTTTCAAACGGATGACGTCAATCTCTCGATTCGTTGCCCTTATCATCGTCCTCCCCCGCAAATTCCTTCCTTTCTCTTTTTTTTTTTTACACTAAGGTGGAAAATGAATTTATGTCGTAAATCATCACCGTAACGAACGTCCGTGACGTACACCTTTTATGGAGCAGTCGCCGAACCGGATAATGAAATACCTGTCGGTTTGGCACGAAATGACGCGGAGCCTCGATTACGTCGAAAGCTATCGGCTAATTCGGGACAATGTGAAATCCCGAGCTGAGAAATTGTAGGAATCGATTTCGTACCGCGGAACATGCGATTTTGCCCCCGCGTGATTTTGGTTGCTGTTTATTACGATTAATCAAAAAAAATTCCAAGCATTTTCGCCCGATTGAAATCTTTCGATGGTATTTTAAATAATATTATTTAAAGAAAATATTTGTAAGATCGATAAACGCGATTGTCGTCAATAAAGTACGGCGGCTTTTATTTCTTCTGTGCTTATACCATAAAAAAGGAATGGTTTTGTTGAAATATGTATAAAGATTTAATTAGCTACGGAACTGAAAATAATTTTTGTTGGCTTATTAAAATAATTATGTATAGCATGCTCGATCTGGCTGTTAGAATGTAGAACACTCAAGCACGATGTGCAATATTGTAAAAAGTTTTCAGAATGTCAAAACTTTACAATATATTGTTCATCACGCTTGTCCTAGATTCTAGTTAAACTTTTCCACAGAAAGAACGGTCTTGTTGGCGTATCTAAAAATTTCGATCGATATTGATCAGAAAATAGTATTGTTGGACCATCAAAATACTTATAAGAAATTCAAACATGTTAAGCAATACTGAGATGTTTAATATTCTAGCAAGCAACTTGAGTGTCTTACATAATTATTTGAATAGTTGAACAAAATTTCTTTCAGATCTGTATCTGGTTAAATTTTTAGATACTTCATCGAAACCGGTCTCTTCGTAGATATTTCTGAAAAATCATATTGTAATGCAATTATAACCGATTGTTCGTAATGCGAAATTTCTTCCGTCGCTCATTATGAGCATTCGCGATATAAACGCGTGAATCGTCGATTCTTCTTTGACTTAATATTAAAACCGCGGCTCGAATATTAATAGCGTCACTGCCATTTATGGCGTGCGCTATTGAAAGTGCGATGAAACTGAAAGTTCATCGTCGGAGAATTTTTAAACGGCATCGAGACTTAATCACTATCACTCGAATTAATTGATTCAATTGTTACTGAACAGCGAATTGGTCCTTACGTGCGTTTTTGCAATTTGCTTGATTTCAGGCGAGCTGTACGTGGAAGATCTGGGTGAGAGAAGAACAGTTTCCATCAGGATGGGCTGGCTATGGGTCGAAGGTACTCCGATGAGGTTACCATTGCGAGCATTAAATCTTCGTCAGGCACCACCGAGCCTCTGTCAACCTCACACATTTGCTCTCGGTTTTACCTTGAGCGATGCAGAGAGTCGTTCGCTCGCCACCTTTTGGGTAATTATCATCGCTAATTAAAGCTTTTTTCGTAATTTTTTTTCTATCTTTTATATTGATATCAATTTGCCAATTCCACAATTTTTGGAAAAAGAAAATATTAACGATAGGAATGTTATTATTCATTATCCATAATCCACAATTTCTGAATATCTCAATAACGGAGCGTCATAAATATTAAAACAATGTGAAATACAGAACGATTAAAACATCGTAAATGACGAAGAACAAATTTTTTTCCATTATAAGCGGCGATTGAAATCGACGATTTCGAATGAGCGTTTAATAAAAGTAGAGCCATAGATTCTGAGGCGACTATATCTCGGATATTGTTCGAGTTCCAATACACGTTTCAGCCGGCATTCTAGCTATTATCATAATCGGTTTCAAAACAAATATACCTCAGCGTACAATTGCTTATCGGACAATGATACAGAATATCTTGTACAAAGTACCAAAATACATAAATCTACTTGATAGCTTTCTTTCGAACCAGCATTGAATGATTCACAAAGTGAATCGCTCTTTTGGATCATTATTATTGCTGCTAATTAAAGCTTTTTCGCAATTTCTCTCTCTACCTTTTATAGATCGACAAACATCAATTTACCGATTTCACGAATCATAAGATTTCGTAAGAGAAATCGATTTGTAGTCAATTGGAAAGGAATTTTCCCGATTACTCTTGATCCCTGACCAGCGCAACGGCGCTATTTCAAGCTAGAGAGGCTTTCGTGAGAGCCGAAAGCGTTCGCGATTTGGCATGGTTCCACAAGACAGAATCGGCCGTTCTCGCGTTCCACGCCGGTCGGCGACGACCAGTGTAAAGGCACGACAGAAGCGCGGACGAAGACAGGGGGGAGGGGGGCGGGAGAGGGCCAGGGAAGGAATAATATGCCGCCACCACGCAATGTAATTGCATGTAAATGGCCTTTATCTCCGGCACGATCCGTTTCCTCAGCCGTAAACACTTTCACGTGCGCCGGGCGAGCCACGCGGGCTCCCGTTTCGCTGAACGCTGCAACTTCTAATTACGGACCCGCCAGCGTCGCCATTCGATTTCTAACGCGTTATACAATTCCTGTGAGCAAGCGAGCGAGCGAGCGAGCAAGCAAGCGGGACCGTGCGAATCCACCGCGACAGCTCCGATCTCTAGAATTCAAATCACCCAAAATTCAAATCCACACGCTGGATTTCTCCTTTTTGCATAGAAGCCGTCGTCGATCTCCGACCGCTTTCATATCGCGCGGAGAGTCTCCTCGAGACTCGTTTTACGTTCTTACGCCCTGGCGTAGCGTCCGATTTTCACTTCGCTTTTTTTTTCTATTCGCGAAACAATCCAATTAGAAGCCCTCTTCGACGATCTATCTGATGAGCCGATGAGACGCGCGCTCGCTCAACCGACCTTCAACGAAGAAGTGCGCTTTGCCACGTGATTGTGGGTGGATAATGCGTTCGAAACGCCAGCTTAAATGCGGCACGTATGAGGTGTATCCTTGCCAAGGCCGCGGATGTCCAGGTGGCGGAGGAGGAACGACGGCTCTGTGATGTAACACAGACCGCCCGCCCGTCGAATCGCGAGATCTTAATAAGGCCAGTAGGCAAGGTCAACACACCCAGTTTGCCGATTCGCTCGCTACGATAAATGCGTGGGAGATTATTGCACCGTTCTCCCATGACCCGCCATTGTCAAGGAATCCCACCATCGCGCGCTCTCGTATCTGGAGGAGAAGTTCCTCATCTCCTTGGGCTCGTTCCAAGGACGGCTATCTTGCCAGCGCACGACCAGTCAGTCAGTCGGACGTCAATCCTCCGACATTGTGATAGGACCGTTCCGGTGTTTTCACGCTGAGTCGATTTAATGATGCTAATTGAGGCAATTGCAGTGACTACGCGAGCGCCCATTGATGATCGTGTGCCGCGATTAGAATTGCGGATCGATGAGCATCGTTGCCTAGGAATACAAGTACACGGCCGAGCTTTCGTGCCATTTTGCCGCGGTGTGTTTCTCTTGTCGCTTGTTCATAGCGTCGATGCTGCGTCATGGTTTTCGATCGAAAGCGGGTTTTCCTCCATGTTGTCCTCGAAATAGACAACGAACGGGCAAACCTGTCGGCGAGCTTTTTTCCAGACAGGCTTGATATCGGCCAGTGTCGTCGAACGCGCCGCTCGACGTACCCGAAGGCCGGCCTCGGCAGGCAAGGCGACAGAGAGATTTGTTCCCGTCGAGGATGGTAATGATCGACACGCCGCCGGTGGTTAACGAGCAAATTCCACGTTGTCGGAGTCCGTCGTTCGTGCACTCGAGCGAACCGGCGACTTTCGAATCGCCGCGCCGGCCAGCGAAATCGTGTGTCACGGTCGATCCTGCGGGTAGACAGACTCGTTCGACTACTCCACGCAGCATCCAGATACCTATCGTATGAGAATATGAAATCCGAATGTATGTACATAACTATCGGCAACGTTTTGCTGGTCCTACATTCTCGCCTGTAATGTTAAACCACTTTACCTGCTCGTATAAGAACTTTGTTATCGGAATTACCAGTCAATTTAATTTTTAATTGTCTTGACATATTTATTTTAATTGCCGTATAACTTTCTCAAAAGCCAAGGCTTTCTTTAAAAAAAGTTTCGTATATATCTTTTTGTGCATCATGATTGTATGACATAAGCAATAGTGCTAAATGATTTATAATATTAAAATACTTTAAGAAAATTAGAACATTTATTTTTAAAAAGCGTATTTAAAAAGCGTTCATTTTTAAAAATCGAACACTGTATTTTCTACATAATTTAAAATGATTCAATTTTATTTTAATTTTCGTTGATAAGCTAAACTGACAGAGATTTATCACTATATGAATAATAAATCAAATAACTAAAGAAGGATCAAGTATGATGAAGACTTATAAATCTCGCTTAATATTATTTACATATAAATTTTATATACAATTTTAATGTCTGTTTCCACCACAATGTAGATTAACTTTCATCTCGGTTTAACTTACTCTTTGTCTTTTTCTAGTTCTGAAGATTAGAAAAAGATGAAGAATAAGTTGAACCGAGATTAAAGTTAATCTACATTGTGGTGGAAATGGGCCCATTATTTATTTAAACTAAATTATTATTAGTCAGATTAGTCAGATTTGAAAATCAATTGTAAATTAAAACTGAAATAATAAGATAGATTTATTCTTTTTAGCTGAACTTCTCGCAATCACACACAGTTCATTTTTTTTTCTTTATTTTCAATGTGAAAAGGAAAAGGAGAAAGCTAAACCAGGCAAGAAGTTTAGCTAAGAAGAACAGGATACTTACATCATAATTAAATTGATTGTTAAGCTTGATAATAATCGATGAAAGATGAATTTAAAATGTACATATTTATAAATATTATTATGCGCCAAATTTAACCTTGATCGTATATTTAGTTTCTCACTCTTCTTTACTTATACTTGACTAATTTTCAATGTTTCAAAAAATACCATCTTATTAATTATTTCAAATGTTGAATTATACAACTGCTTAAATAGAGCATGTCAATCATTTATTTTTTTCAGGCTGACACGGAACCAATCTATTGGTCTTGGGTCAGAGCGATTGCGGCCGAATTGGTCCGGCAAACGCCGTTTCGCGCTCAACGATGCTTGAACTTCCTGGAGATATTGACCATTTGTCCGAGAGGTCCGGTTCCGTTGCCGGACAGTCCGACGGAGACGAGAAGGCGATCTCGCAGTGAATTACGTTGCTGGCCGAGCGATTCACCGACGGAGAAGACGTTGTGCACAACGACGATCCTCGACGATTCCAGGAGAAGGGCGAGGAGTGAATTACGCGGTTGGTCCAGTAGTAACTCGAGCGACGAAGACCTGTTGGGAGAATTTCGAAGCATACCCACTGTGATAAGCAACAAGGACCAACCGGTCAGCAGAGCGTGGGGTTGCAGCGAAAGCAGCGAGGGTAGCGACGACAGTCTCCCTTGGGGTGGCGTATGCCGGTCGAGCGATACAGTGGACTCCCGCAGCGTCCCCTTACCGGAACCAGAAACGAGGGAACAGAGGATACAGAGGTACAAAGAGGCGCGCAGACGCGAAAACGAAGCGAGAAGTCGACGAGTCCTTGAAGAGGACGCGAGGCGGAAAGCAAGAGCCGAGGAAAACAACAACAACTTGCCGAAGATCTACGGTAGAACTAGGAGTAGGATTTGTTCTGTCAACGATAACGATGATGCTCATCCGACCCGTTCGCCTAAAACAGAGCTTCTTACGTCGACCGACGTACGAAAGCGAAACGAGAATTCGATCGTCGATCGACTACCTCCGCTCAAACCGAACGAGACCTCCACAGTGAGGTTTACTGAGGAAAATTATCGAAACGAGGACGACAAACGGAACAATAACAGTTCTAGAAGTGGGAACAACAGTCCTGGAATACTCAGGCCGGACATCAACGAGAGGAGAAGTAGAGCCAGAGAGAGGAGAATTATTCGTGATAAGGCGCAGCTATCGCAGATTCAGCAATTGACGACCGGTATCACCATCGCCAACGTGGAAACTCTTCGGGAGCGGAAAGAGCGGCTGGCTCTCCTGTCTTCCAGAATTCCCATTCCCCGTCAGTTGTCGCAGCCTTGCCAAAAGTCCACGGATTGCCCGGCAATTGCATCCCCGATCAATTCTCCGTCAGCCTTAACGGTACCACCTTGCGAAGAGGACGTTGCCAAACTTCTAGAGCGATGTCAGAGGGTAGACAAATACGTGCCGGTGCGGGAGAAGCTGACTTTATTTGAATCCCTTTCGAGATTAGGCGGTCGCCTGGCCAGAAGCACGGAAGATCTTGGCCGAACATCTTGCAAGCCTAGTCCCAAGGGCAAGCAACGCGCCCGGTCTCTTCACGATCTCAACCGAGGCGCCAGGGCTCTACCCGTGAGAGAGATGTGTCGATTTTTTGAAGGCGATCTAGAGCAGGACGCTTCGAGTCAGAAAGCGATGAATCTTGCGAAAACGAGATTTAGCGATCCACCCGCGAAAAACACATGGAAAGACCCGAGTTCGAAACACGAGGCACCATGCATCAGCACTTCCGTGAGAAAGAAACATTATCTAAAGTGAACGCAACTAGTGAATCGTTCTTCTAGGACATTTTAGAGCTTAATCCTCTAATAAGATGGATTTTCAGTATAAAGGAAAATAGAGTTGGACATGATGCTATTTTGTTGATTTTATTAATATAATATACAAAATGTGTAAAAGAAGTTAAATAATATAATATAAAATCTGTTCTTCTGTTAACAACGTAAAATGTGCGCTGTAAAATAGAAGTCGCATCCAACCCCATCTCATTATTAGAGAGTTAAGAATTAATATATCCTCAAATTCACGCCTTATTGAAAATGAAGTAGCGAACTCAAAAGGGCGGAGTAATTATTCAATTATTTTCATTATTCTTATATCTTCCTCTCAGCATAAATTTTCATAAATCATGCCGGTTTTTGTAGCCAGTGTAAAGTTAGAAAATATTTTCCAATCGAACAAACTGCGATACATAAAAACCCAAAAATCATAACTGATTTCCGTTTCTATCGCGTGACTGATAAATCAATGTAAATATTAATTAAAAAGATCAAAGTTTGCGAGAGTTCCTCTCAAATAGAACACAAAATCGTAATAAGATCAAAACATCAAGGATTTTATTTTAAGAAAAATCATAAGAGAAAGAGAGAGAGAAAAAAAGAGAGCGATGTCAAGAATTCATTACTAAATCAAAAATGTATCGAATGACATTATTATGATTTTTCCTAAAATAACTTCTACAGGATCCAACAAAAGTTATACAATGTTTTTTGTTAAAAAGAACACAATTTTTGGCAGAATCCTTTTTCATTCGACAAAATATCTTCAGTAGACGGTGACAAAATTATTTGAACAGGATAGCCAAATGACCACTTCTTTTTGCACTCTGATACTCTCGGTGAAATTTTTTATGTCATCACTGGCGATTCAATCTCGGCGATGGACTGGATGTTCACATATTGTTTTTATTTTTGTATATCTTATACCGATCCAGTTTCCTCGAATTTCTTCACTATACTGCGATGATGATATGCTCTGTTGGGCGATTGTGCTAGCCAAAATAATTAAATTACAAAGTTTTCGAAATGTGATTTTGATCACATTCCGCGAATTTTCATAAAATGTTTGGATAATTTTTTCGCGTAGTTTGATGTTGTATCGCTCCATATCGCACATTAAATTGCCCACATATCAAGATGACACACGTCAAAGTTAGTGACAAGTTAATGTTGAATTCATGAGTGCGTTCCGAAGTTACATTCCGACTTCGTATAACTTCTGTCGGATAATCCTGTACCCGATGTCATCTTGATCTTATTACGATTTTATGTTCTACCTGGACCCTTACTGATAACAGTAATTAATTTTAGATATTCGCCTAATTCAAGTGTCCTCAAGAGGGACCCGAATCGTGAATCGATATACTTTTATCAATTGTTGGATAGAATAAATTATTTATATACACCGATATCCTGCGCTCTTAAAGGCATTTACGATTTATTGATTTATTTCGTCAGAGCCTATAATTTCTCTTGTTTGATAACAATCAGTTCCTTGATGATCCTCATGGTTTCGGATACGCGAAGCTAACTCGATTTAATTGTTTATCAAACACTTTAGATTAGAATCAAACTTTGTTGATTGCGTCGCGGGCGACGATTGTCGCACTTGCGCCGAGAGAAAGTCGCCGCGCGCGCAGGCTCTTTTTCACGCTCTCGAGGCCCCGAACCGTGCTTGATTCTCTCAAATTGCTGGTTGTCGCGATCGGCCATCAAAGTAAAGGAAACAGGAGAGACCGATACTTATACTGCGTGTCTTACGAAAGTGAAAATAAAGAATATAATTGTCATAGAAATTTCTTATCTCAGAATTAGAAATCTATTTTCCTTTTTGAAGAATATTCTGAACTAATAATAATGTAACGCTGGTGCAATAATAATAATGGTTTTTCGATGATCTTCTGATGGATCAGTTTACACCAGCTCAGAACATTCTTCAAACGAGAACAGACCTCTGATTTAGAGGTGAGAAACTTTTATGATGATCATAAAATTCTATTCTTTGTCACACGCGTATACCAATTCAAAACATTTTTTGAAAAAGGGCAGACCTTAGATTTCATCTTTATTTGTTACACGAATATCACCTCGGATCATAGACAATTCGTTTGCATTCAAAAATATAGCATCAGCATATAACTTTTTGCGTGCAGTTATGCGTATCAGCGAGATCAAGCGTGGCCGATCATGATATGAGGGGAATGACGGAAAAAGAAAGAGAGACAGATAAATAGAGAAAGAGAGAGAGAGAGAGAGAGAGAGAGAGAGAGAGAGAGCGGAAGGGAGAGGGGGAATTGGAGAAACCGGTAATTTACGTTCACCGCGAGCGATTGCCGCAACGTCGAACACCTGTATGTATACAAACTATACGTACCGCGAATCGATCGCCGAGCTCATTTTTCGATTAGCCTGAATTCGATCGTCGGGATTTTAATCGGGCAACAGCTCATTCGTTTGAGCACCCAAAGAAATGAATATAGTAAGTATCGCGAACGTTTATAGCGTTTCCCCAATTACAATAATTACAAGTGAAATTTGTACATAATTGATTAATTTCATTCTGTACCTGAAATTGTTGGTTCTATGTCTTCTTTTTCTTAGGCTATAGTTTAACTTTTGTTATGTCCTCGTTGCGAATTGTAAATAAATGTCTAATTATTATCGATTTATATGATTTATATGTATATAAATATATTTATGTATAGCGCTGAGGTATACTATCGTGTCTCCTGATAGTCTTTGTTGAGTGTGTTGATGTGTAATATTTGCCATTAGGGTGGCGATCGCCCTTCGTCAAATCTCTCGAATTTCCGTCGAGAATCAGAGTACAGACTACAGTCGACTTCCGCTTATTTCGAACCGAAACGATCATTTCCGCTCGTACAGTACTCCTCTCACTTTCTCGTTTCTTTTCATAATTGATAACACACAATATGTAAAGAATAAAAATGTGTTCTAATTTCATACAAAATAAATAAAAAAAAATGAGTTTGACTACTTTGAGAGAAGATATAAGATGTAAAAAAATTGTTTGACAAAAAAGACTTTCCTCGAAAGAAAATCTTGTTATTTATCAAATTTTATTTAAATAGCGATTGAACAATGAAGAAATTATAAACTCTCTAATTTGTTGAACAATAATTATTATGTGCATCCTGACAATTATATTATATATAATTCTTAGCATGCATATAATAATTATATATATATTACATAGAGTCGCCGAAATTGATTCTTTCTACAAAATTGTTTGTAATCAATATTTGTAAAATAATTTTTTACAGTTATCCAAGACACGCAAGTCAAGAGAAAATCAAAATGACGTATTTTGACATCAAAATGACAATTTTTTTTGTTACCAAATTTGACTGTTAATTGACTTTAAGTATCAAAATAAAATCATTTTGATGTTTTTGATTTTTTGTGTTGACTTTTGTGTGTTCTTTGGGTTTCATCGAGACGTTTTGCGCTCGAAAAGGATAGCCACTTACTTTTATATCTCGTTATATAGTGTACAAAATCAGACTTTCTTGCGTTGTGTATATAGAATTGTGAATGTAATGTAACCGAAAATAAGGAATATATTATAAAAATATTGCGGAAAATCATTTCGAGACAGAGCGATCGAGAGTAACCGTATAATTCTTCATTAATTATTATTCGCGTATAGATTATTATTCCCATTGAAAAATATTCTGGAGTTCTTCTTGTAATGAAGTTTACACTTGTCATTGTTAATTAATTTTTCTTTAAATATTGATTGAAAAAATTTTATAAGTTCACAGTAAAATTAATTATACTGCTGTTACATATTAACTTACATTACACATTTGAATTGTTACATACTGACATATATGGAGCAAATTAAATTTTTTCAATTAATATTTAAACATTTTTCTCATATTTCTCAAAGAACTCCAGGATACCGTTAGGACCCGATCGCAAAGTTGCCAGCAGTCGACGACCGTCTACAGGGTGATTGAAATGACTCCGTTATCACATATAGATAACATATAATATTTTGTAGTAGATTCGATCAAACACGATGTCATTTATCAGTGCCACCCGGTACGAAGGGTTGGTCGCCAAAGAGGTCTTCTAGTCCCTCGTCGGATAATTCCGAAAGGTTATCTCCCATATGTAACTACTCGTCGATATATTCTGATTTTTATTACCCCACGAAATATTTGTCAAATGTACGAATCGCGCGTACCGTCCGCGGCGCAATTACGCGGCGAAAGTTGCGCGTCTTTGTATTTACCTTTGTTGTAATAAAAAGGGACGAATAATGGCCGTTACATAAAAGTGATTGTTGTTAGAAAGCTGGCGGGGTCGTAGTGACCAACGCGTCGGCATTCCTAGCCTGTTTCTTTTCCTGTGGTTATTTACGCTCATATCTTTTTCATCCAAGCTCACCCACGCAAATCATTGTTTCCCTTCTCTCCTTTCTCTAGCGACGTATCCCGATGCTGATTTTCGCGAAAAATAAAGAGAATAGATTTGCATATTTTATATAAATGTTGACGTAATTCTTGAGATCGAATTATGCCGTTTAAATTATTTCTGACGCTTTGGCAATGAGTAAACATTATGATTGACGTTTCAATTTTATTAGTAACGTGTTTCACAATTGTTTCCAGCCGCTTTCCTTTCCACATAGCGTGCCTTCATTTGTGAAAATTCGTTAATTATCCAGTTTTCGCAAGATCAAACAGGTAGAGATTGCGTATGATATTACAATATTCTCATAAATGAGAGCAGTGTTAGCTATGTTTTTTCCAGATGAAATGTCAGAAATTCATGAGTCGCGATTGTTGCACAACTTCCCGGGAAAATATTTTTCTTACCCGTTTGCATTTTGCAAGAAAACGGAAACTTGCCGACGGAATAAAAAAGAGAAGAGCATTTTTAATAAAGTTTTTATAAACATTATATATATATATATAAACGTTCTTTTAACTTCGAAACAGAAAATCGCGTAAAAAAAACTAGTTATGGTAAAAAATTGTCATCAAAATTTTAAAAAATGATACAAAATTGTTATACTCTTAAACTTTTAAATATTAAAAATTAAAAATTGAGCCACTTTCTCCAAAACTGATTTAATTTTCAGTCTTTAGGGTGAAGTTCTACTTCGAAGAATTTAGAAAGTATACCTATGTTATTAATTTCTGTATTATTTAATTTATTTTTATAATTTTAAATATCGAGGCAGAAATATCTGCATTTATGTAGTTTTTTTTCGAAACTAGATCTAAGGATAGTCGGTTCTTATATTTAAGACCGTCTTAAGTACAGCCTTAAAATGTCGTAAACCAACTGTATCACAGAACTGTATTAATATCTTAAAACAATGAAATAAGATTTAAGATTCTTGAAATAAGAATGGAAATAAGAACGAAACTATAAATATCAATTTAAGTGTATTCATGGCCTACTTACAAGGAAAGGAACATAGGTTTATCCTCCTACTAGCTTATCTTCCTATGATTTTGATGCTTTTAATATTGCTTTATAAAAAGAGGACACTTATTGTGTCCCTTCTCTTGTCAGACATTGACAAGAGAAACACTTTAATTGTTTAGATTGTTTAAAAACAGAATTCTGGAACAATAATATGTCAAGTCTCTAAAAAAAATACAATTCCGAGTAAAAAACTGTCAGGGCCGGGGTAAAAGTTAATTTACACTGGATTTACATTCAAAATTTCTGAATTTTTATCATTTATCTTTAATAAAGATATACGCATTCTTCTATTCTTTTCATCAAAGATCGTTTATATTTTCTATTGGAACGGAAGTAACAATTTCCGGTCTCAGTCTGTGAACAGCGTTCCTTGCAAAATTTGCGATAGTGGCATGTGTATTTAAGATTCACGTTTACATAACGGCGATCGGTATACTTTATTCCAATGTTTATTCATTTGGTTATTTACGTACGAAGTCGCTCGCGCGTTTATATCAACGCCCACTTACTGTACGTGCACGCATATGATTTTCGTTCCGCATGTTTACGTAAAAGTGGTAGCTATCAATTTACGAGGAAAGCCGATGGAGAGTTCTGCGGTGATCCACTTGCGATTTTTGCAAGATTAGAATCGTCGAGATCACGTTGCGGATCAACGATTCGCTTTCAGTGAGCGCGTGATGTCTCCACATTTTCCAAAATAAGAGCAAAGGATTTCGTTCTTCTTTTTTTTCAGCCAATCGATTTCCAATCCCCGGAATAAAAGGTATCGGATATATATCTCTTTCGATTCCGCTACACATCGAAGAAGAGACATCGCAGACTTTCACCCGTTATAACCGAAGTTATTTTTAAATTAAGATATATGCGAACTCTTTTTTTCTTCCGTATAAATGTTTCTCATCAAAATTCATTGAAACTGTCGTTCCAATTATATTATAGGGAAACCTGTTTGAGAGATAAATTTCAAGTTTTTAACTTCCCATAATGGCGAAAGAGAAATGTAGATACATGTTTTAAATCTTTCTCTGTTCACATCTATGACCGAGAAAAAGTCCACGATTTTTAATAAGTCAATACATTATAGAAATCAACAGTCGAGAAAGATGGCGATAGTGTCCAGATATTATCACAGAAAACGACTTATCCAAAGTGAGATCGATGCTGTTTATTTAAAGATATATTATACATATGCTTTAATAAAATAAAAAAATTATGAAAAAAATTACAGATTTTTCTATACTATATTTGAAGGTGATATAAAATGTTTGACGGCGATTTAGAACCTGGAACAAAATTATTTCAATAAAAAGTAAATATGTTTTATATGTATCACAAAAAATAACAATGTCTGACACAATTGATCAACATGAATATTAATAGTCATTTCTGATATATTTTTATATCTGCTGAACATCGTTGGATTTTAAAATTAACTATCACGTAACATTTTAAAGAAAAATGGCGTCAAAGAGAGCAAAATTATCGATTTTGTGATTTTTTATGATGTAATTTTGCCAGTAGGTTTTTCTAAATTTTCTTAATATAAAAATACTAACTTTAAAATACATTTTGTTTCATTTTGGTAGAATTTTTTGTTTTTAAGATATAGCAATTTAAAAATAATTCTTTCCTTTTTTTTTATGAAAAAAGACATTATTCTTCATATTGCATTATAAACAATGAAAAGTAAGTGTTTTTGTACTTGATAATATTATAGGAATCGAATCATACTAAATAAAAAAGCAATATGAAATTAACAAAATATAATATGACAGAAAAATTACATAATTTTCAATCATTTCAGATCACATAGATTCGTGTTGCAAAAAGAAGGTCAAATTTTGACAGCTCCAATAATCAAGTTGACATTACTTGCCATCAATTTGACAACATAATAAAATGATTAATTAGAATGACGTCCTTAACGTCATTCTAATGTCAAAATGATGATAAAAGACACCAGCTTGTTTTCTGAGATGTAGAGATGTAACGACGTAAAATTTTAGGATAAAAAACTCAGGATATAACAATTTTTT